CTACGGCCATACCATGATAAACTATTAGGGGTTTCTAGTGTTTTATAGCAATATGGTAGAAATAACCATATCTCCTAAAGTAAAGCACGCTGTATGGCGAAAAGTTTGTGGACACCTGACTTTCACACCCATATGTGCTTTATGAGCATCCCATTCCAGACTTAGTTCCCCCTTTACTGGTATAATAACGTCCACTCTTCTGGGAAGGCTTTCCACTAGATTTTGGAGCGTGGCTGTGGAGATTCATGATCATTTGGCCACAAGACCATTACTGAGCTTAGGCACTGATGTCGGGTGAGGAGGCCTGCTGTGCAATCAGTGTCCCACTTCATCCCAAAGGTGTTCAGTGGGGTTGAGGTCAGGGCCCTGTGCATGACACTCAAGTTCTTCCGCTCCAACCTTAACACACCATGTCTTCATGGAGCTCACTTTGTGCACAAGGGCATTGTCATGCTGGAACATTTTTGGGTCATTTAGTTCCAGTAAAGGGAAATTGTAATGCCACAGCATACAAAGACATTCTATACAGTTGTGTGCTTCTAGCGTTTCTGGCAACAATTTGGGGAAGAACCACATGTGGGTGTAATGGTCAGTTGTCTGCATGCTTTTGGCCGTATAATATACAGTATATCAAAAGTAAATAAAGAAGCAAAGAGGAAATAGGAAGAACGCAAATTATAGTACTCACATACATTAGTTTTATATAGGGGTGTAACACAGTGACACTATCTGTGTCTGTGTCTGTTTTCAAATATTCATATCTGTATTCAGATTTAAGTGGACGTGGCCTAAATCAGAAACTTTCTTTTTTGTAGTAGAGATTTACATGAATCTGTTTTTCTTTTGAAAAACCCTGCTCATGCAATGAATTTAATTACTTCTGTTTCTTATAAGGTAAACAAACTAGGAGCCTAATTTAAAAAAAACATGACACTGACTAGGCAATTACTAAGGATGAATGAACACCTTATATGCAGCACTGTAAATGCATTGTTCATGTTCACGTTAATGAATGTGGTGTCCCATGAGCTTCATATCTGACCACTCACCTGCATGAAAGTAAAAAAGACATTGTTTGTCTAGTCTCAACCAGAAAAAGAATAGTGTACCACTATTCTGTATCTGTTTAGAGCTCATTATCTGTTCCTAGGGCAAAATGGGAATAATATTTATATGTAGGTGGTTTATAATCATTTTTGATATGGTGTGTTTCTGTACAGCACTGATTACAGGGTTTTCATCTGCACAATGTGGAGTGCTGTTGATATAATAAAAACACCAACTTGTTTGCACAAAAAACACTCGGTTCTCTCCTTTGTATGGCAAAATTGTCAGTTCCCTTTTAATCAAGATGGTCTTTCACTTGCTTTTTGAAATTCTGTCAGAAAATTGCTTAATTTGACTGGTATGGCTTCAAAACATGTGGTTTGTTAATCATTGTTGCAGTAATGTCAGTTCTAATTTCATTAATGTCTGGACCTTGGTGTGAACTAAAAAAAGTACCCTGGTCAAGTTATGGCAAAACAGACTTTAAGTGTGACATATCTCAGGTTCGGCAGTTTGGTTGAATATATTGCAAGGCGTATTGTCATTGTAGAGTGGAGCAGTATCATTTAAATGTGCTATTTTTATTCATAGTGTGCAGCCTGAATAAAAGGTGAAACTAAATCGCTAACTAACACGTTCCACTTGGGGGAAAACGCAGATGAGTATAATGTGTATTTGCTGAGTAATGCGATGTGTGTGCTGTCTCTGCTGTCTGTGCGTGTGTGTGTGTGTGTGTGTGTGTGTGTGTGCGTGTAGCACGTGTGGAGTGAGAGCGAGGACTGCCTGCCATTCCTGCAGCTGGCACAGGACTACATCTCCTCCTGCGGACACAAAACCCTGCTGGAGGTCCTTGACAAAGTCTTCAGATCCTTCAGACCTGTGAGTACTGTTTTTCATTACACATACACACCTAAAACCTAGTGCACACTAGATGATTTTAGCCCTGATTTCCCAGTCGCAGAATCATTTTGGGGATCTGTGATTTGGCATGTCATCCTCAAATGGTTGTTAGGAACAACAAAAAATAAAAACAAACACAGCATGATTCCAGGCAAAGCACAGTATAAAAATAGCTTTTTTTTGCTCTATATACCTCCAGTTCTCTCTGCAGATCAGACCATCCTCGCTAGCCGCATTTCCCCAACCAATATTTCCTTAACATTTTTCTCTTATTTCTCTTTTTGTTGTTTCCCAATAGTGACAATATCACATGGTAGACTGCTCTTGTGTTTTTGTTTTGAGACAGTGGGATTTGGGGATCAGTTGTGCTTTGACAGGGATCCACCAAACCACTGATCGCAAGTGATTGAAGTCATGTAGTGTGAAATGGTCAGCGATTCTGAGATTTTGAAAGTCACCGCATTAACCTCAGTAACCTTGTGCAGAAATCCAGTCTTCCTCTTGGATAGAACTGTCAGATATTCCCTTTCTTGTGTGTGTAAACCCACACAGTGAATTCAACTAATTGCTAAATGCTTAGATATCTATTAAACTTACAGCCCTGTTCAGTTTGTTTTGCTCAGATCTTTTTGACTTCATCATTCATACCCGTGTTTGTACTGTAAGTGACTCAAAACACTCATCAGTGTGACTGAATCTCTGTCCTAAAATAACCTGCATAAGCACTTCCCAGATCAGTAACATCATGTTCATGATGCACCTGCATTACCAAAATGCCATATTTGTGACAATTCTGCATTACAGTAGCGATGACATAAACAGCTTAGCAGCACATGGCTTGTTTTGGAGGTCAGCTGAAGCTCATCATTAGCTCCTGATCAGGATGAGAAGGTAAAAAGAGGACAGACGCAGAGCTCTTGCTGTTTTTATAGCTATTACTGACATTCTGTGCTGAGAGATATGATGCTGCAGTTTCCTGTGTGTGCACAGAGAAGTGTGATAAGCGAAAAAAAAAAAACCCCACATGAATCAGTCCTTACTATTCTCATTACAAGCTAAAGTCCAGTGGATATGTATTGGATCTAGAATGATGTGTGAAAGGAGCACAAATCTGTTTTGTTTTTTTTGCACTCACACTGGTATTGTAATGAAATTCCAAGTCTGAGTTGAATTTATATCTCTAAATATGGTCACCTGAATGAGACCACGTAGGGTGGGGGCAGACTCTTGCTACCAAAGTACCTCAAGTAGCATAGTTTGAATAAGAACGGAATAAAACACCTGTTATGTGCTGTTACAGGAAAATAATCAATGACATTGTGTTGTGATGCAACCTGACATGAAGCAGATTTACCATTACCAGCCTGAAATTGATTATTTTCCTATAACAGCACATCCTGAACACAGCAATTTGAGATGATTACATGTTGTACCTTTAATTATTTATAGTTACATTTAATGTTGTGGAACATCTGCGAAGCAAGTTCCTCATATCATTTACGTTAAGCAGTCTTTTCCTCACCACTCTCACTTTTTTCTCTTTCTTTTCCTCTGTCCTGAAGACTTTCCTGTGGTGGAAAACCTACTGAATGTTACAAAAGCTCTGACACTGGAGACTCCTTCCATAAATGTTAAATAAATGTCTCTTTACAAAAAACTTCTCAGGGCATACATAAGAGGGATCTTGTGCTGACAGGCACTCAAATACTACATTTCTGTCACATGGCTCTTAAAAAATATTAGAAAGTGAAAAGGGCATGTATCACATTTAGGCAAAAAAAAAAAAAAAAAAGGATTGTGGTCCCTATTAAGTTATGTGAAGTGAACATATCCCTTGTAATCAGTTGCTGTATTTAATAATTTATTACTAGAAAAATAGAAAGTCCTTTTCTTATACTTAAAGTCTTTTATCAGCATAAAATATGCACTATTTATAATGTGAGTTTGCATGAACAGTGGAATGAACATGATGTTGTTTTCCAGCTCCTGGGTCTTCCAGACATTGATGACGACACGTACGAGCAGTACCATGGAGACGTGGAGGAGGAAGCAGAGACGGACCATCAGCAGATGGGTGTTAGCCAATAATATGCTCATTGAGGTGGATCGACCTTCCACGGGCCAGAGCGTTGCTTCATTCCCTCTCTTTTTCCTTCTTCCAAGCCATCTTCATATTTCTACTGGTTTATGATATGCACTATCCCTCTGTCTTATACACTTGCACACATGCACCACAGCTTGTTATAATGCACGATTCCACCCTTTACCATGTTGCAAAGAAAACATTCTCGGTAGACCTCCCATGTCCTTCTTGTTTTATTTAGTAAGCCCCTGCTGAAAAAAAAATATGGAAACCATTTCAGGTTTCTGTTGGTTCCTGTGTAGTGGTATTTTGTATAATGGGTTGGTATCACAGTTTAATGGGTCCTAATGGTTTAACAGGTAATGCGTGACTGACTTTAGACGTGCTTAATGGTTTTCTAATGGGATTCAAGAGTCTAATGGTCTCTGATGGTAACATTATTGTAATAAGCTGTGGTTCAGTTGCTTAATGGACCTAGTAGATTTGTTATATAATCCTGCATTTCAGGCTGTGTGTAAGAAAACAGGAAAACATTTATATGCAGTGATTAAGCTCATCTAGTTCAAACTGAAAAATATTTCATTCAGTTAGTATAAATATTAGAGATGGCACGATACCACTTTTTCTTTCACAATACCGATACTGACACCGAAACCTTGAGTATCAGCCAATATCGATACCCATCCGATTTTTTTTTTTTTAAACTACCATGGTTTAAAATGTTTTTTTTTTTTTTTCTGAAACACTTCACTTAAAAAAAAAAAAAAGTAAAAATATAGCAACAACTTTTTTCCTCTTTTGGCTGCTCCCATATTCAGGGTCGCCACAGCGGATCACCCGTCTGCATATTTTGGTTCCAGCACAAGTTTTATGCCAGATGCCCTTCCTGACACAACCCTTCCCATTTCCAGGCTTGAGACCGGCAGTGAGAGTGCACTGGCTCGTGCAACCCTCCAGTGGCTGGGGTTGGTTCCCTGACCAGGAATCAAACCCAGACCGCAGTGATGAGAGCACCACATGCTAGCCACTAATCCACCAGGGAACCTTAAAAAAATATATAGGAAAAACACATAGCTAAAACAGGACTTACACAAAACCACAGCTCAGCTAGACTTTTTCCCCACAAAAATCACATACATTGCAAATAGAATTTATGCTTTTCCAGGATTTGCAATTTATTCCAATTCCAGGATCAGATCAAATTTTTTTGTTTTTCTCCAATAGCTGATCCACCAGATCAGATCAGTGCATTCTCTAATAAATATACCCTGTATATATACTGGATCTGAAGCTGAATCAAAATCTAATACACACTTGGGAACCATCAAAACCATTAGAGCTTGTGAAATTGTTTAATGGAAACCACCAGGTTAATCCCATTAGGAAGTAAAAAAAATATTTATGTTTTTTGAGCAACGTGGACTATGAACTATACCATTAAACACAAATTCATTCATAGAGTTCTACTGAATGTGAGACATAGCTAAAATAGCTTAATATTTCCCCAAAATTGTGGGAATAGTTAAACAGGTACTTTAAATTTAGGCTCTCATCTTAACGATGATGAATAGAGCTTGTCTTTCTGAATGTCTGTGCTTAGAAAGTCATGATTGATTTTCTGGTGAATAGGTGAAGAGGTGTTGTAATGTTGTAACGTCTGAGACTAATCAGTGATTTCAAATGTCAGAGGCGATTTATCACACTCTTTGGAATACTCATCATCGGCTTTGTCTTTACATCTCAATATCCTTGATCATTGAATGGATTGAATAGGAATAGTGATCCCAGTAAAGCTCTCAGCCTGCGATACTTAATGCATAATAGCCCTAGATCAGAGATAGCGTGATTGCATTTTCAGCTTTCTGTAAAGACAAGCCTGCGTTTACACTTATGCATCGTGGTTACTTTTCTTTTTGGTTTTCAATAGTCTTTGATTGTATTAAACTATAGCCTACTTCAGGCATGTTTTCACACAAATCATGGCTAATTATAGACTTCCTCCATGATGTTTTCCTCCCAGAATACGCAAACGTAACGTAGAAGCCTGGGTTGAGCTTTAATGTGTGAAGTACAATAAGTGTGAACATGTTGATCTGAAGCAGCTTCCACTTTTTTCATCCTTTAGTGCTGACTGAGGAAAATATGATCCTCAACCAGCACTCAGTCTTCATGATTAAAGGCACTGAACTGACTGAAGTCTGACACACCCCACAGCAAATTCTTTCCGGACCGCTTGACCAATGTAAACAGGTTAGCAGGACCAGCAGGCACATCACATGTTCCAGGATACAAAGAAAGCTGATATGATCCTGCTGACTTCATATGTTTAGTGCCCACCTAATGCTGCCATCAAACCCCTGTATCTCCCACACACTCACTGCTTCCATGCTGTCTTCCTCAGCATTAAGTCATCCACATGTACTGAAGTCTGGTGTAAGATCAGTCAAAGCTACTCTTCTATATTCATATTTATTTGATCGTCCAGCTTTAGCACTCTGCAAGCTTTTGTATATTTTTCCCCCCAATGCAAACCTCTGGGTATTTACCCCATTAAAACAACTATCACCATTTTAATGACTTTGAGTTTTAACTAAAGTTTGCTTAAAGATGTAATTTTATAATTTGTCTTGTTTTATCTCATGCTTTGTTATCTGATTTGTTTCATCCTCAAGTTTGTGTATGTTCCTAAATTAAACCATGTGGAGGTGACGTTCTTTCAGCTTGTCCAGTTCCCTTAGTGAGTCTCCCATTTTGCTTAAGCCAGGTTACAAAAATGAACCGTTTCAAAATTTGAACTATTTAAATATAGCTATAATACAGGGTGTCCCAAAAGTCTCCATACATAGGGGAAATTAACACTTTTTAGCAAAATGTCTTCCAAAATTTTTCATACTTTATATATATATTTTTTTCAGATAGCCTTTAAGAATGCCTGTACTTTACGTTTATACTATTAATACACATAATAGTATAGTACAGACATTGATTCTACATGTCTGCATGACTTTTAACAACAGACAAAGCACAAAGCAGCTTTACAGAAATCCAGATGTAGATTTCTATTTAGATCCCTCAGGAGCAAGCCAGAAGGGACAGGGGCAAAGAAATACTTCCTGAAATGACATGAGGAAGAAAAGTTGAGAGGAACCAGACTCAAAAGGGAACTCCTCTTCTGCAGGACACATAAGTTAGATTATAATTCAGTACAGTAAACAGATGTAGAAGAGTAAAGACAAACAGTACTAAGTGTGTTGAAAGGATGTTCGGTATGAGCAGATTGTGAATAAGTGTCCTGGGATGAGCACAGGACAGTCTTTATGTTTACAGCAGCAGTTCCTACATAGATGTCTGCAGTATTCAGGTGAGATTATGCACTGAAGCAAGGATAGGCATGAACTGTTTTTAGGAGGTGCAAATCTTTAAGGTGTCTATGTGGGAGCATCAACAGGAGCAGAAGGAGAAGTTCTAAGCAGAAGTAGAGCATCAGGTTGAGTCAGGCAGATCCGGAGGGTGAGCGGAACCGTAGCAGCAGAAGTGTAGAATTTATGAATTTTAATGTTATGTATTTCAATTCAAGCACACAATCAAAATTATAGAGACCTTGCCATTATATTCTTGTTGTCCCAAATACACCTCAAAGAAATATTGTGAGAAGGTGGCAATGCTGGGTGTAAGTCATTAGTCATCTAAGCATAACCCAGTCATGCAGCTGTGGAAGGGATTGGATCTAAAGGTTTAATAGACACATCCAACCACCTTCACAAACCTCTGGGACATCCTGCAAGAGACAGGGCAGCTCTAAGAAATGGCTAGAAAAACTGGTCATGTAAAGAAGGTGAGTGCAACATTTAGAGCATCTAAGACAGCTCGTTGTCACAAATATTCACGTGTGATACTTTTCTTTAATATACTCAGTCATTGAAAACCAATAAAGAAAATGTGCATTCATTAAAATTGGGTATCTCCAAACAAAAACAGTGAATAGATATAGATGGGGGGAAAAAACACTACAATTGACTTAACTTGAGGAAGAATAAGGGTAAAATTATTGAGTGAATCAGAACGTTTTCACCAATTTTTTAAGACGAAAAAGAATAACAGTCTCTGGAAGATAGAGGCAAGGTGTTCCAGGTGCTAAATGCCTCATACTGTGGACAGTTAAAGCTTGGGGAACAGCTAGGAGCCCAGCACCAGATAACAAGTTTATGTGCAGGGAAGTTGAAGTGTAAGACATTAAAAGTTATATGCAAGCAATATTATGGAAATGGAAGAAATCATTTTTGGTAAGTGTCCCACTATAAGGCTCAAAACGAAGAGGACAGCTAAATGTTGGACCGATATCTTATTTCATATACATGAATGGTCCAAGAATCTAGAAACTAAAGACTCGATAAGTAACAATTAGTAAAAATTCAGTTATTACAAATTTACACAGCGTAAGTGGTAGCAGAAATCTATACATCATCAGTCTAACAATAAAGCCTGAGACTGTGATGACATGTGATATAGCTAAGTTTGGCATGTAAATAAGAAGGAGAGTGGGCCAAGGACTGATCCCTGGGGAGCACCTTGAATAACTGTAGCAGTGGCAAAATTCTGTTTGCCAGTGGCATCAAAATGGTGTCTGTTAGGAAAATAAGATCTGAATCAGACAAGTCCTATACCAATAACTGACAGATTATAAACATGCATGTCATGATTTGGCTGAAATATTTAGCTGATTTTATCTTTAAAAAAGCAAAGAGACCTTTGGTTCCTGAAGAACAATCATAGCTGGACATGTACAACTGGCATGGGTAGTTCACTGAATTCATACAAAATGCTCAGGGTTGATTTATGTGTTGATAGATTAGCAAGAACAACAGTGGGCTAGAGCCAACAATTGGCAATGCTTAGTATTCAAAAGGTATTACATCATGGAAATCACAGGCTAATCTTATGGCCATTACAGTAAACACCACTCAGAAAATAATGAGTACAATGTGTGCGGCTGAATGACTAACAAAACTTGTAGGTGGCTAAGTCCAGACATTAGTGAGGAGCATAGGCAACAGTCATGCTGGCATGTACATAGTGTACATAAACACCAGCTGTGATGTAATAGCAAGCTGACAACAATTAGTCCTGAAAGACTAGAAAATTCCAGCAATGTAAATAAATATTGATAACTGTGACTATATATACAGACACTGGCCACTTTGCTCATTCATGCAATCATCCATTCAGCCAATCATGTGGTGGCAGTAGTACATAAAATCATGCAGATACAGGTATAGAGCTTTAGTTAATGTTCACATCAAACAAAAGAAAGGGGGGAAATGTGATGATCAGTGACTCTGACCGCGGAATGGTTGTTGGTGCCAGATGGGCAGGTTTGCGTATTTCAGGACCTGCTGATTTCCTGGGATTTTCGTGTACAACATCTCTAGAGTTTACACAGAATGGTGAGAAAAACAAAAAACACCCAGTGAGCAGTTCTGTAGGCAGAAAAGCCTTGTTGATGAGAGAGGTCAGAGGAGAATGTCCAGACTGGTTTGAGCTGACAGGAAGGCTACTGTAACTCAAATGACCACTCTTTACAACTGTGGTGAGCAGAAAATCATCTCAGAAATTACAACATGTCGAACCTTGAGGTGGATGGGCTAAAACAGCAGAAGACCACATCGGCTTCTGCTCCTGTCAGCCAGGATCAGGATTCTGAGGTTACAGTGGGAACAGGCTCACCGTAACTGGTGAGTTTGAGGATTTGAAAAACACCATCTAATTTTCACACTATAGATATGAAAATCTTCTGTTACGTATTTTTTATTTTTTATATTTATGTTTTATTTAGGTCGATATACAGTAAATGTGTTTTAATTACAGTGCCAAGTCATGACACTACCTATGTCACATACACTCAGTTGCCAGCTTATTTGGTACAATAAGCTTATACCTGCATTCAGTTCCCCTCTTTATCTACCTCATCCTCATCCAGTAAAAAGGGACTGCTACTGATATCACTTAGGTGGTGGAACAAATTCAATACAGCAGTGACACATG